ACGAGGAAAAGTACTTTTTCCTCGTAATCTCCTCGTAAATCTACTAAGGTCTTACGAGGAAAGTGTTTCCTCGTAAGTTTTCGAGGAACTTACGAGGAAATTTGCTTTCCTCGTAATCTCCTCGTAAATGCTTAGTAAATTTACGAGGAAGGATTTTCCTAGTAAAATTTCCTAGTAAATGCTTTGTTTTCTTGTAGTGATAGTCCATTGCAACAATAAAGATATGGCTTCTAAATAATTATCTTACTGTTGACAAAAAAAAAATCACTACCTTACTGAGAAAAAAAAAATTTTATCTTACTCTTCTTCTTCTTTTTTTTTTTTTAAAATAGCCTTATCTTTTTTTTACCCTGTTATGCAAAGTTAAATGTATAACTAACACCTTCGCATTTTTGTTAATAAGACGATTGTTAGGATTGTTAAAGCCCATGTTCAACTCTATATTTTTATATTAGTACGATATTGTCCATTTTGGGTCTTAGAGGTTGGCCCGCATGAATTTACTTTTGGTTTCCTTTCCAAAAGGCCTCGTACTATTAGAGTTGAACATCTCTTTATATATTAGATTCTCCTTATCTAATTCTCCAATGTGGGACTTAGTTTGTTATCTCAACTAGAGCCAAACATCTGTCACTAGATGTCAAATCCCTTGCTTAATATGATATTGTCTGCTTTGGGCCTAAGCCCTCACGGATTTGTTCTTGGGTCGTTGCTCCCAAAAGACCTCATATTAAGTGAGATTGGACCAGCTATATATATATTAGACTTTGTTCGGTCTAATATCCGATGTGGGACTTAGATTACCTTTTTATTTATTCTAACAATCCTTCCCTCAAACCAAGGACCACGGAACCTTGAGCTCAGATACCAATCTTGAGTTTGTTAAGGCCCAAAGTGGATAATATCGTACTAATAAAATAAGATAGAGTTGGAATATTATAGATTTTTCTTTTTTTTGAAATATTATAGACTTGAAATTTGTTTGAGAGGAGGAACTTCATCTCCGACGAAGAAACACGTATAGAACTTTTGATACATAACTCTTCTGTTACCACAAATAAAAATGAAATGCATCATATTCATTATTGCCCATAATGACATCAAAGTACAAAGAGAATTCTATAAGCTTGACTTTTACCAGAGAATCTACGAGTTTAAAAGTTAAAACAATACGGCGCGCGCACACACACGTACACATTCATAACCTTTGACTTGCTAAATTGTTACCCTCTACTACTTTTAAGATTTTAATTAGCTTCAACTAGAAATTAACTCCTACTATTACTTCTTAGATTACGTTACGTAACCTGGTAGCTAGACGTTGACCTACGGACTCATAGCGGGTCCACACTACTATTACATCGACGGCTCTGGCTTCCACACGACTGTTCAGAGTTTGAACCGGAAGGAGAAACGCGTCCGACACGTCCCCACCAAGAACAAAAGAAACGCTTAGACGAGAAGGCTCTTTCTCATCCAACGGCTTAGATGTCACCGGACCGACCACTCTCTTCTGTCTCTTCTCATACCCGTCGATCTGTCTGGCATTTCATCTAGCGCCACCTCTTTTTTTTTTTTCTTGATTCAATTTGTCGATAAAGAAAAAGAGTTAGGATAATGTGTCTTTCTAATTCTGACCATTACTTAATTTCCATTTCTTACTTGACATTTTCAAATCCTAGTGTGATAGTTCCTTTCCTTGTATCACTCTCAAGGCATTAACCAAACTTGACATCCACACATGTGCTTGTCTGCTATAATACCAAAAAAACACAATTTCATAATTAGTAAAATTAACATGATCAAATAACGCATTGAAATACTCAACCTCTGATAATACATGAGGAAATATCAAGGAATCGCAATTTTTTTGTGACCAATAATATCGTACTTTAAACTTTTGATTTATTTTTCTTTATGGGTCTTCTAAATGACACGCATAGTCATAGGTACGTACGTCTCTGGAGGACCTGCAAAAGATTTGAGATAATGATTTCAGAATTTTATATAAATAACAAAATAAACTCAATTTTCTCAAATAAAGAAGTCAGAAAAATTTAAAGGACCAAACCAAAAAGGCACCTTTAGCAATTAAAAAAAAAAAATCCCAATATTTTTTTTTAAATGGTGTTCCTATGAAATATAAACCGCATAAACTTAGTGACCGCCATTAGCCATATGAACAATTGCACAAAAATAATAAAACCCTTTATTTCGTTACTTCAGCCGCCGCTTTCCCTTACCTCTTCATCTTCCTTCTTCTCGTAGGTTTTCTACACTGTGCAGCTCGCAAACCTGGCTATCGAAAACCATAACCACAAGCTTAGCTTCGGCGCCTTCAAGGCCAACCACAAGAAAGTCATGGTGATTCTTCTATTTCCCTTTTGTTTGCTTCTCTTACAATTTTCTCAAGTGTCTGATTTTGACTTCAAATTTATAGGGGCCGATGATAAGAACAGAGGAGGAAGAAGACTACACGAGTCCACCGTGGCTAATGCCAATGCTACGAGGCAGCTACTTCGTCCCATGTTCGATCCACGCCGATTCAAACAAAAACGAATGCAACTTGTTCTGTCTTGACTGTGCTGGAAATGCCTTTTGTTCGTACTGTTTGGTCAAACATAAAGACCATCGCGTTGTTCAGGTCAGTTATCTCTCTTTTATTGTTTTTTGTTTATTAATGTTTTTAATGTTAAATGGAATTAAACTGCAGATAAGGAGATCTTCTTACCACAACGTGGTTAGAGTGAATGAGATACAAAAGTATATAGACATCACTTGTGTTCAGACATACATCATCAACAGCGCAAAGATCGTGTTCCTCAATGAAAGACCTCAGGCAAGAATCGGAAAAGGTGTTACAAACACGTGTGAAATCTGCTGTAGAAGCCTCCTTGATTCTTTCCGTTTCTGCTCTCTCGGTTGCAAGGTACAATAATAATTAAAAAAAAAACATTCTTTGCTCTGTTTTTTTTTTCCTTTGTTTCCACCACTTTCTGTCTTAAAAATGCAAACTTCCAATAAATAGTTAAACCCATCTCACATTTTTCTTCTTAATGAACTATTCCTTCTGTTTCAATTTTAGATTTTTGCACATTTAATTTTACATATTTTTAAAATAAAAACACAACTACTAATCCTAATTTCACACTTATTTTGAAACGAAAATTTTTCTCTACAACAACATAACAACATATAAACTGAGACTACAATGGGAGTATATATCAAATTTTATTCAGTAATATTTAAGTTTTTTCATGATTTATTTGGACATCCTCTGTTTTCGGAATGTTATATGGCTGCAATGATTATAATTATCTTTGTGTTTTGTTTTTATTGATCCAGCTTGGGGGAATGAAGAGAGGAGATCACACTCTAACCTTCTCTGTGAGAGGGAAGCAAGGGAGAGAGTACCAAGGTGGGTCGGAATCAGATGAGGCTACCACACCGACTAAGATGCGTAAGACGAATGCTTTCAACCGTTTGATGAGTGGTCTCTCTATCTCCACTGTTAGATTTGATGACTATGGTCTAGTGGGAGAGCAACGGTCTTTAGGCTCCAGCGAAGAAGGTGGTTCAAGTTTCTCCCCGGGAACACCTCCGATATATAATCACCGGAACTCAAGCAGACGAAAAGGCATCCCACACCGTGCTCCGTTCTAAATTATAATACGAATTTCAAACCCTATTAATTACTAAGTAAATATAGTTAATACGCATCAAAATTATAAAGGATGTAGTCATAATGCTGTAAATGGCTCAGTGTTTTTTTTTTCTTTCTGTTTATAGTTTTTTTAAGAAGAGATGAAATGCAACATAATTAGACACATACATAAAATAAATTTTATATTAATATAGAAGAATCTAGTGTATTGTGTGAAGGGTTTCGTGATGTTAGCTTGTAAAAAGGCAGGGCTCTGTCTTGTCTTGGAATGTAATGTGTACATTGTAATATTGTTCAAAGTTTATGATGCTGACGCTTTGTGCACTGCAATGAAAGTTTCCACCAGTCAGTATTTCAGTTAAGTATTTTTTATAAAAAGTTCTTCCTGCGAAAAGTTAGTATCAATAATGTAATATGAATGAATCTATACTATATAAAAGTTGAGGCTATAAGCCATTGAGGACGTCCACGTAGGATTTAAGTCCTCCAATCGTATAATGACACATCATTATATTAGTTTATTATTTTTATAAAATGTCATTGTTTCCAAATTATATTAAAAACGAAATTAATATTCCATATATAACTTAGCTAACAAAATAAATATTAACATTTTACA